CACACACTGCCCCTGCACACACACTGTCCCTGCACACACACTGCCCTTGCACACACACTGCCCCTGCACACACACTGTCCCTGCACACACACAGTCTCTGCACACAGGACCAGTCTGAAAAGCTCTACTTTCAGTCCTTCATTTGAACCCGTGCTATTGCAGGACCAATCAGAAGATGCCTTTTTCAACCCTTCATTTGCATAAGTGCACGGCCAATCAAAAGACGCCCTTCCTGATCCTTCATTTACATACAGCGGGACCTGCTCTTCCAGGACGCCTGGATGCCTGCGAGCGGACAGCTCAGGTTCTGGGTACAAGGGACCCCTCTCCCTCATCCCGGGCGCTGGGGCCTGTTCGCCGCTGCCTCTCACCCCGCGGAGCGTACTTCTTTCCCACCTCGGTAAACGTGCGTCTGGTGGATGCCTCTGTGCATCCTGTCCACGCCTTTGCTGGCGATGCCCGAAGCCAGGAGAGAGGTCCCCCAGACTCTCCAGAAGTGGCTCACAGCCCAAGCGTGGGGCCCAGGGCCCGGCCCTCCGAAAGGAAGCTGGGACTCCAGCCGACCCCTTGGCCCACAAGGCGGATCTGGGGCAGGAACCAACCTCGAGGCCCTGCAGCAAGGCCACACTCCCCACGCTTCAGATCTCAGCTGGGTCTGCAGCTGTTCCGCTCGCAGCAAGGGAACCGGATGCGTGGGTGGCGAGTACTTCTGAAGAGCCTGGAGTGCAGCCCCTGCCCGCCCTGGCTCAGGGCCCCGGCTACTGGGCTACTGTTTCCCCGAAACAGCCCCAGCCCCAGGCGCACACATGACTGCTCTGAAAATACGCCAGAGACCAGATGCTGAACCATCTGGGCGGTTGGCACCCACGCGGGCTCAGACCCATCTTTCCTTGTGACCAGGGCAGGCAGCAAGAGGAGGGCAGCGCCCAGGCCGCAGGCTCAGGCGCAGCGTGGCCGAGGGCACCGACCCCCTCCCAGCCCTGGACGCTGCTCCTCAATCTGCTCACAGATGCTGGGAGAGGGTGACTCATAGTGCTCAAGGTACCAGGTGGAGTCATGGACACTCATGCGGGTCCACACCCAGCAGGGGGGGTGTGGAGACCCTCCCCCAAACCAGAGGCACGGAGTGGCCGTGTAGATGAAGCCTGCCCTTAATAGGTCTGCCACAGGATCCACATAAGCTGTGAGCCGAAGCGCAGCTCTGCGTGGGGTGGCGAGCAGCAGGGCTCCCAGCCACGCGGGGCTGTGCCAGGCAGGACCTGCCTCTTCCACTGCATGCTGGGGAATTTCACAGTGCTTGGTCGGCCTCCAAGTAGAGGCACTGCTGGCCACCCCGCTGGCTTCTAGGCCTCGCTGTCCAGGGCAGCACCTCCTTCCTGGCAGTATCCTCCGAAACTGCACCTTTCTTGGGTGGCTGTCAGATCAAGGGCAAACTGCCCCCACTAGGAACCACAGTCAGGAGGCACGTAACGTGGTGTGTGCATGGAGCTGGCCCAAGCTCGGCAGGGCTGCCTCGCCCGCCGCCGCCCTCTGGCAATGACCGAATTCCACTCGTTCTCACTACAACGCTTCCTCACCTGAAGGGGCCCCAGGGTAGCTCTGCAGCTCCTCTCTGACCCCACATGGGATTCCCTTCTAGAGAAACCCTTCCTGAGGCTCCTGCCCAAAGGTTTGCAAAGGGGCAGGTCAGGGCTGTCCTGGCAGGTAGCAGGAAAATTTGAAAACAAAAGCGAAGAAGCAAAATCTCTCCAGGCAGGTTTCTCCTCCCCAACCGTAGCCATAGCTGACGGCTTCGGCTCTCAGTCAGGGGCTTCCGTGGCTGCGCCTGTGGCCTGCGGAGCTCACTGTGACTTCCAGGCTGAGCAGGAAGAGCCCGTGGCAGGGACCGCCGAGGCCCAGCTCTGCCTGGTGGGAGAAGCTGGCCCTGGGTAAGCACAGAGTGATAAGGCTGCTCCCACAGGTCAGGCAGGGCAACCTTGCCATTGGTGCCCGTTTCAGGCTCTACAGCAACTGTCCAACAGACCGCCCACGCTGCCCAACGCGTGCCTGACAGCATGCGGCCCACCCTCCTGCTGTACAGTGCAGCCTTTAAGAATGGACTGGGGCCAGGGATGTAGCTCAGCGGCACAGAGCCTGCCTGGCAGGCTTAAGGTCCTGAGTTTAAGGCACAGCACCAAGAAAAAAAAGAACAAGTGAGCAGCCACTGGGCTGGGTCTCCCACACACAGAAATCTCCCAAGGGCCGAGGGCAAGACGGACACAGGCACCGCACCCTACAGACCTCGCTGGGGCGGGTTCCTCTTCTGTTTCTCAAGTCTGTAGACACAGGGGTGCTTATTCAGCTAGGATTTTTGATCCTGAGCATTTTATTTGTCCATTTTTTTTCTGGTTATTAAAGTCAGTTTTAACAGAGCTTTCCTGCTGTCAAACATGGACACAAGTGGGCCTTGCTGGTGGTTGTAAAGGACTCAGCAGCCCCACCACGGGCCTACACAGGAGGTGCCTGGGCGTGAGGTCGGGGCCTACCAGCAGTTCTGCTATTGGGCTGCACCCCACATCCCTGTCGAGCTAAGCTGGCACCCAGGCTGCAGCAGCAGACCCTGCTCGGGCTTGAATACCCCAGGCCTGGTACCCAGGGGTGCCCCTGCCCCACCCTGCCTGAATCTGGCCACTGATTTCTCACCCACTGCAGTCCTGACCTCCTGGCTGCTCCTGCTCATGGGAACAAGTCCCTGCCCTTCCCACGCCTCAGACTGGTCACTGCTGATCCCTGTGCCCATGCACCCGCTGCGTGGGGCTGCTTGCCCCGGGCACAGGGCCTCAGTGGCAGCTGACGTGGCTCGCATGTCACACACAAGGAGCCTGGACTGGCCTGCACACTCAGCCAACATAGCAGGAGAGACAGGTGTCCCAGACTTCAGCTCTGGCCTCCGCCTAGGATGCAACGTCAATGGAGGCAAAGTCTGTGTGGGACAGGGGCAAGGTGAGGAGCGGGTGGGAGATAGAGCACCGTGGCCTCTGTGGCTACCTGCAGGGACCCTGTGCCTCTTGGGAGGGCCGAGCCCACCAAGGCTTCCTTTGGCAAGCAGGGGCCACTGCAGACCCCACAGGCCACGTGGACGGGGGGGGGGGGGCGAGGCTACCTTGGAGGAGACGATCCTGTTGTCGGGGTATCTCTGTGGAATGTAGGCCTCAGCGCCGAGTGGGGGCTCCTTGTGTCCCACGTAGATAGTGCGGCTGTCCACCCAGTCCTCCTCCCCAGCACACTGTGGACAGAAACAGGGTTATGTCAGCCAGAGCCCCTGCCACTGCTCCCTCTGTGGCCCGCTCAGACAGATAATGACCTGTCCCGCTGCAGGACATATGCCTCCCAGGTCCCTGTGTCCCCACCGCACAGGCCTGTGCTCTGCTCACTGGCCGCACCCCCAGGGATACTGGGGTGGGGGGCATCTGTGTCGTGGAAACAGCACACTTCCGGCTCATCAGAAGAAGAGCTGGGCAGGTGGATGGAGGCTCCCGAAGGAGGGGCAATGATGGCTTGGCAGAAGGAAGGGAGAAAACCTTGGCTCAAGATACCCACATCCCTCCACCAAGCTGGCACCTGAGCGCAGCATGGCTCCTCTGGGAGGGGGGACCGGGCCCCACTGCATCCCAGACTCAAATACATCATCCTGCGTGGAGGACACAGCTCTGTGCAAGGGACCTGCACAAGCACTTGTCCAGCTGGGCTGGGCACCAAAAGCCACCTCGAGCCCTGCCCAACATTCCACTAATGCTGGAGCCCCAAGGTCTGTCACAGTGGGGAGAAAAGTGAGTGGGTCTAAGGGGACATGGCCCCCGATGCCACCAGGCAGGCAAAACTGGCACCCCAAGTGGTCACCCCAAGGTGCCTCCCCTCCAGGGCTCCTGCCTGCCACCCCCATCCTGTGGTGAGGCTGCCACGCCCGGGATAGGAGCTGCACACGGAGCCCCACAAGCAGAAGTCGGCCATGTCTCCCCATCTCCCTGGACACAACCAGTCGATCCATGCTTTCTCTCAGAGCAGGTTCAGGGCAGCACTGAGGCAGCATGGCACCCTACGGAGCTGCAGTCTGTGTCAGCAGGAAAGCTCCAGACCGAGTAGCTGCAGGGCCTGGGCACCGAGCCTGGCACCGCTGCTGGACCCTGCCCTGTGCAGGTGCTAGGCTCAGGGAGGAGCAGGCTGCAGGGGTGGGGAGAGCGCAGAGAGGGACAGGAGCTTCCCAACAGCAGAGGGCTCCTCAGTGGAGGGTTGCCGGCTGAAGGGCCAGCGGAGTGTCGGTACTGTCCTGGGGAAGGCTGACCACTGAGAACGCAGGTAGGTGCAGGCTCAGGCTAGACAGCCACCACTCACAGGGCCGCCGCAGGGCCCAGGTCACTAAGGGAGAGAAGACGAGGAACTGCAGTCTAAGGGTGGGGGTGGTGTGGGACCAGGCCGCTGTGGGTCTGCACAGTCCACAGCCAGCCTGAGGCCAGGACCTGTCCCGGCCATGGAGACAGACAGAGGCACTGCCTGTCCACTTCCAGGGGCAGCTCCTAGAGGCTATCCCAGCCCTGCATCTTGCTGTCCCTGACTGCACTCCCTGGGGGTCACTAGACTGAGCTGCTGCCTTTAAACAAAACTTGGTCCCATGTCCCTCTGACAGAGAGCAGTGCCTGGGTCGCACAGACACAATTAGCAAAGGAACGTGATCTCTTCCCCACGACTGACCGACAAGGTGCTCGACAGCCAGATCGGTGCCCATGAGGGAGCACAGTGGAGCTGCAGGGTCAGATCCGCTCTGACTCCTGCTTCTGGGCAGCAGCAGCAACGCCAAGATGATACACAGCAGTGAGGGCTCAACCCAGTTGCTGTGGAAACAAGGAAGGCCAGGGAGGAGGGCTTCCAGTCAGAGTGGGAAAAGGACTGGGCAGGCGGGCTTGGGCCACCCTGCCCATCCTCAGTGCAGGTGTGGTCTGGAGGACAGGTGCAGCCAGGAACTAAGCCGTTGAGACTCCTGTTAACAGCCTGTCACATAGGCCCTGTCTCAGTTACTTTGCTCTTGTTCCTGGGACAAATATCCAACAGCCAAAATGAAGGAAGGAAAGGTTTATTTAGCTCACAGTTAACAGATGTTTTCAGTCCATACTTGGATGGCTCCCAGGCAAAATGGCACATGGCAGAGGGCAGCAATTCATAGTGGTGGCAAAGAGCAAGAGCAAATGGGAGGGGCAGCAACAATGATGGCCACAGAGAGCAGTCTGTCTCCCTTAAGCTGCGTTCAGGCTGTCCGCACGACCTCTTCCCCACCGATGACCCCTTCCTCTACCAATGTGTCAGGCTGGGGCAGCACTCACACCCACAACCCCACAGCATCACTCACCCATAATCCCAGCCTTGGGTCATGAATTGATCACAAACCGTAGACCTGTGCCTCAGTGACTGCATGAGGCTTGGGGGGGGGGGACGCACAAACCACAGTATGCCCCAAATGAACTGTTCTACAAAGGTAAGTGTTTTGAATACTAGGATTACATTAAAAAAAAAAACCTATTCACAGAAGTAATTGCAGAAAACTTCCCTAACAGGGAAAAATAATTTGACATACAGTTAAGTGAGGCATACAGAACTCCAATTAGCCATGATAAAAAAAGAAAATCTATAGCAAGGTACATAATGTCAACGATCCTAGAGTTTCAACACAAGAACAGAACATTAAAAGTTGCTAAGAGAAAATTTAAAAAGTCATCTATAAAGGAAAGCCCATCAGAATCAGAGCTCCGTGGCCCAAGAGCCTCCTGCCCTGCAAGCACAAGGACCGGGGTTGGATCATGCCCCGCCAGGCCTGACACTGGCACAGTGGTGCACAGCTATGATCCCAGCGCTAGAGAGGCGGAGACATGAGGGTCACTACAGGTCTAACCCGCATAGCAAGACTCTATACCAAACAAATAAATACATAAAATTAAATTAAAATTTAAAAAAAAAAGAATGAAGGGACATAAAATTAAATTAAAAATAAAAAAAAAATAATGGCGGGCCGGTCAACTAGCTCAGTGGATTAAAGCGCCTGCAAGCAGGTGCAGTGGCCGGGGGTACAATCCCCTGGCCTGAAGTGCCGGCCCCACCCCTAGGGAGCGCTGAGAAGGCAATTGAGACTAGGCGTGGGGATGTGCACCTGTAATCCAGCTCTTGGGAGGCTGTAGACAGGCGGATCACCCTGAACGCCCTGTAGACCCGTCCTATACAACAAGGGAGGGGCTGCAGAGCCCCTCTACTCCACTCCGTGGAGCCTGTGGGCACTCCACAGCATGCTTGCTCTCTGGCCCTGTCTGTCCTGTCTTTCTGCAGACAATGCTGTTATTACAGACAGCTGCCTTAGGTAGTGACAGTCTAGGCAGCCGGGCAGGGACAGACCTCAGGGAGTCACTGCAGGGGTTGAGAACACAGCACCACCTTGGCTAGAGGCGCATTCGCAAACGCCCAGCCTCAAGGTAAAGACGGAATAACCAGGCCAGAGCGACACCCGGGGCACAAGCGGTGGCGGACCACTGGTATCACCCGGCCCCACGAAGTCCAGATACACACCAGCCACCCCGGTGGGTGACCGGGACCCCCGACTCACCCCTTCCAGAAGGTCCTTTCGCTCTTTCCAGGCGCACCTGCTGTGTGACCCGCTTCCCACTGGATCACACTACCAGGGCAGCTGCGCTTGGAGTCCAACCAGCTGATCACAGTTTTGTCCCACTTTGTACTCACTCGTGATTCTGCTCTATAAAACTTCCTCTGAGAAATGGGCTCCTTGGTAACCCCCTCTGGGGTCCCCTCCGGTCTCTCAGCAGCTGTCTTTCCCAACCAACGTTTCCTACTCCAAGCCCCTTGTGTCCCTTAGCGCTCATTCCAGGGAACACGAGCTTGGTGAACCTGGCATCTCTCAGGCTGGGAGTCATACTATTTCCCTTACATCGTCTGGAGGTCCTGCACTACCATGGTACCTTTTATTGACAAAGAGCAGCAGAGAAGCTATGAAATGTGCACACAGTGCACTCTCTAAGGGAAGCCGGCCAAAAACATCTGCTCAGGGGCCTCGTGGCTGGCACTGACAGACAGGCTGCGTGGACGTGCACCCTGGTCACACTGTCGTGCTAGGGTAGCGTGAGCACCCCGAGACTCCTTCCCAGGCCACTTGTCCCTGGCACAGGGCCACGCAGCCTTTCCCCTTCTGACTCTCGGCTCCCCTGTACGTAAATGAGGTGCTGGTGTCAACCCTTCCTCCGCATCAGGGAAACTGTACGCTGTGCGGCTGACACCTGGAGGGTTCTGGACTCCACCTCCTGGGGAGACACCAGAGACTCCCTCTCCCTCCCAGCTGGAGTGACCGTTCTCCTGCAGCACTGGGCCCTCCAGGGTCAGGCCGGGTGGACAGAGCCTGCTGGTTGGACCGGGCCCTGTAGAGGAATCAGATTCATGCTTGTTCTGGGGTTGGCACCTCTGCACAAGCTTCTCTCCACACCACACTCAGCATTTGAGGGGACGAAGGTAGTGGGCCCCACACTGTGGGCCTGGAAACAGCAAGCAAACCCTTGTGTGTGTGAGTGGCGATGCTGGGTGAAGCAGCACAGAACGCAGCCCAAACAGGCACCGCAGAGTGCGGCACATCCCCAAGTGCAGGTACCCGTGGAGGCCCGAGTCCGGCTGTGCAGCACGTGACAGGGGAGAGGTCAGCACTGAGGCCAAGGGGCTCCAGGGCCCGACTCCGTTCCTCCAGGGTCTGACCGCAGGCAGCAAGGACCTGACTCCCACATCTGTGTCCCTCAGGAGGGCTCGCTATCCTAAGGCTTGGGTGCTGGCCCTGCAGAGGCCAAGACAGCTGGGCCCCTGGCAGGACGAGGGGCTGGAGGACCTGGGCAGGCAGCAGGCCTCAGACAGCCAGGGAGGGCACCAAGTCAGGACCTGCCTTCTGTGGCCCCATTCAGCCAGCAGCAGGCAATTTCCTGCCTGGGCCACGACCGGGCCTGGGAGGGCCCAGCACTGCATCGGCCCCCACCTGCACCATGGCTGCCCGCCCTGGCCCTGCATGTGAAGGTGGTGCAGGCCCCTGGCCATGGCCACGCTGGCTGGTGCCCTCTCTGCCACGGAGTCACTCGAGCGTGCACCTGCCGGACCCTGCTGCCCTCCTCACCACAGCAGCCCCAGCCCCCAGCTCAGCTCCTTCCTGATAGGTTTTTTCAGGTGCACAGCACAGCAGAGAAACAGGCAGAAGGAAGA